GGCATTGTCAGTAAGTGATGGTCAATATCCCCCAAAGAAGACCTAGGTAGGCTGGTAGAGAGGAAGAGGTAGTGGAAAGTTAGTAAGTAGAGCGAGAGGGTACATGCACAACACTCTTATTCAAGAATTTGATTTCAAATCTGTTACAATGAGGGGGAAGGGAGTATTCATAGTGGAAGAGGAATCTCTGTCTAGACTAAGTACAATGAATGTTGTCCCTTGATGGGACGTCGCTTGTCGCGTAGGGTGTGACATGTTCCTCTTGTCCCGACATGCCTTGAAAGTCGTCAAAGCATCTTCTTGTATCTCTAGCGTGTTGCACATGTCTTAGTACTTGGTCATTCAGAGCACTTTTTAGGTACACTTGTTATAGAGTGTATCCATTATGCTCTGCATTGAAATGTGCTGAAGAGTGGATGTCTAAAGGTGCACATGGTCTTGCTAAGTAGGACTAGTGTGTACCCTTTGCGAGGGAGTGAATGTGCAGGTCCTTGATTCGGTTGTTTGGAGACGACTAGAGCTTCAAATGACCACCGTTGGGGACGACCTCAGGGCCCTTGATCACTCCCACACTACCCATGACTTAAATCTGTTTTAGAGTTTAGGTGGCCATGGCCCATTGTACCTAGGCCAAAATATGTGAGGCCTATGCCTCCATCAATAATGAATCTTAGTTTTGAGTAAATGATGAACTAAATCAAAATGGCACATTCAACTTACATAGCTTCTCACATTCTATGCAGTTTTGAGTTGTAAGTGCAACAATGCATTAAGAGTCTAAGGAAACAGTCTATTTCTTAAGATGGAAAAGGCTACTGACTTCGTACATTTTGATCCCGTAGACCCTAATGGAGTTAAGATTATACTAGATTTTTTTGTTGCTTACTTACACTCAAAATAGCAACATGAGAGACATATACACAATGGAACTCATATGGAGACTGCCCTCCTTATTCTTGGTCCTAAAATGGATACATTACGCTGATATTCTGATAACTAAGTACATTTTTAAATTTTACTTTTATCGGCATTTTACTTAGTATTCGCAAGTAAAAGTTTTATACTCCATCCGTCCCAAAGTAATACAAAGGACATGGTAAGCATATTACCAAGTAATACAAAAAAGCAAAAGTTACACAACACATCAATAAGGATGCAAATTTATCTACTATACAAACAACATAAAAAAGACCCTACTAGACCTTGCTACCTCCTAAAACCCATGTCGACAAGAGAAAGACATGAAGGTAAGCCAACTAGCCTACAAAATTAATTCCAGATCTCTTAAGTCTCATATCAAAGGTTATGATATGACTATATGAGTTAGTTGCGTAAGCTTCATGCATGTATAAAACTATTAGTACAAAATTTGAGAACATATACTCAATAATAAACATAACCAAAAACTAGGAGCGCTTCTATAAATGTAGACAAACTTTTTCATATTTACAGTAACAAAGAGTCTTACATTCTTAAGAGTCTCATGTCATCTCCAGTCAAAACTCTAAATAGTACTACCTCCGCACCAGAGTATTCGTCCAATTGAACTTTTTCGAGTCAAATTAGACAAACTTTGATCATCGATTAAATAAAAAAATGTATAGTATATTAGTACAAAAATAATTTCATTACATTTATCTCGTGGATAACTTTAAGAAATTTATGTCATTGTATTAATATGTAACACAAATTTTAAGCAATTGATGATTATAGCATGGGGCATTATCAACTTCATTTTTTATGCTTCTTTAACTAAGGGTCCGTTCCGTAGGACTTATTTTTTCTACTTATTACTTATTTTTATTAAAATCAGATCAAACCAGACCTAATCAGATCAGATCCAATCAGATCAGACTCAATCAGATCAGATCAGATCCAATCAGATCAGACCAAATCCAATCAGATCAAACCAGATCAAATCCAAAATATCAAATCAAGAATCATATAAAAAATAATATTTATATTTTCAAGTATTAAATAATAATTACTATTATTTGATTAAATCACATTACTTTATTTAAAACTACACACACAAAAATCTTAATTAATATTATAATTTTAATTATTATTTTTGTTATATTATTATTATTATATGTCAACTACAAACCATTATTTTAAATAATTGCTTAGATTGTAGGATAGAAATGATGCATGGAAGCAATGTTAAAGCTTAAAACTTTGTATTTTTCATACTTTAAAAAGAGTTATTTTAAAATACTTGTTTATAAAATAATTATACAAAATTAGTTTTCAAAACCATAAATATTTTATACTTAAAAAGACTTACTTTTAAACTTTAAGATGGTATAACATCAATATTTTCTAATATTTGGTTATTTTAATACCGATTCTTTCGTTTTTACAAAAATTAAAAAGGTTGTGATATTGAAAAAATGTTTAATATTTTTTAAAAAAGTTTAAACAAATCAATGATTAGCTGATTTTCTTATTTTACTTTTTTGTATGCATATATGAATTGTAATCCTTTAAAACTATCAAATTTTATAATAATTTTAAGTTTAATTTAAATCAAATTTAAATTCATTTATACCAGATCTAATTAGATAAAATCAGATCCAATCAGATCAGATCAGATTCAATCAGATCAGATCAAATCCAATCAGATCAGACCCAATCAGATCCAATCAGATCAGACCCAATCAGATCAGATCAGATCAGAACTTCAAAAATTCAGATCAGATTTAATCAGAGGCGTACGGAACAGAGCCTAACTTGATTACCAGTTTTGCACAAGACACAATTCAAGTTGTTTTTACTAATATATGGTCTCCTTTAATCAAATACATGGTATTTAAAAAATCTAAAGTATAAGTCCCACAAAACTAGGGTCTAGGGAGGGTGTGTATACACAGACCTTACCCCTACTCGAAAGTAGAGGCTATTTCCAAGAGAATCCAACTCAGGCAGAAGGAAAGCAAATATCATGCAAGAAAAACAAATAAAAATTAATGTCAAGAAAAGTGAGGAGCAATGTCTTAAGAAGAATGAATAGTTATGGCAATATGAATTGATAGTCGAATTGTCAGAGGCAACAAACAAGCATAAAGGCCTAGCCTTTGGATCAAATTTCAAAACAGAGAGTATATATATGGCAGTTTCCCTGCATTGAACACAACACGATAAACTGCGTCAACAATTGAGACTACCCCCTCAAAAACAAGAAACTGAAGTAAATGTTGGCCGGGTGAAATTGAGCATTCACAGATGTCAAAATTTTAAGTGAGAACCCATTGGATCGGCCGTATTTCGTGATCGCGAAATATTTTGAAAAAAGCTTTGCTGTAAAACCTCTCTTCGTGGTGAGAGAGAAGAAAAGTGATCTCTGTCATAGTAGAAGAAAGGTGCCTAAGAAGAGTTTTGAATCTTTTGATGTCTGCCGGCAATGGAGCACGAGCACCATGGCCATCGAAGAAGACGAAGTTTTGGTACATAAATATTTAAGTTAAATTAAATTTTAAAGCTATGCCACTAATGTGTGGGAATGATTATTTTATCTGAATATTGGATGATTTAGAATACCTTCTCTTGGACTAAAACTTACTGAATGGAACTCAATGGAGATAGCCTAAAAGTTAATTGCAATTTTAAGTAAAAGTGCTGAGTTGAGTGAACGTGAATTGACATCCAATGAATAAGTAAACCCAAATGCAATTCAGCTACCTAAAATCATCAAATGTATTAAAAACCATCTTCCAAAAAAGCAATACCAACATTTATCAAAAAACTAATAAATAAATCAAAGAGGGGTAAGGCTGACTGCTTAGCAATATGGAGGATCAAATCATCAGTGCCAAAATCTTCAATGGTAATGTCCAGGAGTTCTCCCTGGCTGAGATTCACTGCGTAACAGCACATATCTTCCAGATCTTCAAAGTTTGTATTAGATTTTGACATGTCGATGACACGCCACATGGCAGGATCCTTGCACGCACTTCGCCATGAGGTGCACACCATGATGGCACTCTTCAAGACCTCCTCCGCTCCCAGTTTGTACAGAATGTTGGCCGTTATGTCCCGCGGAAGCTCCGCCCATGGAGGTGGCGGAGGATCTTTCTTCTTTGGCCTCCATACATACTTCTTCTGCCTCTCCGTGTAAGCGGTGTAACGCTTTGGCATTTTTTTCCAGTTTCCCCTTCTTAGGGTTTTTAGAGGAAGTGGATTGTCCCCAGAAGTCTATAAAATCAAGTCAAACAGCTAATTTTGAGCAAAAATGAACTGTATTAGATCAATATAGCTAAAAAAGAAAAAAAATACTTTGTACTCATATAAATTATAATGTGTTTCTTTTGAATTTTAAAATTTATCAAAGAATTTAGGCTATTTTAGCAACATGAAGGCAAACGGCGTAGGATGGGGTATTGACGCGGGGTAGAGAGGGAGTTTCCTACCTCTCTTCATCTAAACAGCTTAGAAACATATCCATTTTCCACTTATTTTCTCTTCTCCTACTTTTTCCTTCCCTATTCTATTTCTTATCCACATCAGCATTAGCTATGTTTCTACCCGTATGAACAAAGGAAAACAATATATCGCACTATTTTTAGTTTACTACCTCATATGTCGCTTGTGCTGCTTGAACGAATCGCCTGCTCCAAAATAGAATTTAGCATTGATTAAAACTGAGCTAATGTGTTGTTTGGCAGACCATAATATAGTTGCAATTCCACCATACCTTAGAAATATAGCGAAGGTAATTCTTATGTAACCTTTATACTCACCAAGGAACTAACTCAATCAAATGTCTTATATATGCTCTAGCAGTAATAATATTAATCTTTATTCGTTACACGCAACAAAAATGTTACACCTAGCTAATAAATACGGAGTATAATGCATGAATTGTACACTACAGGAAGAAGGGGTTACAAGTATCAGCCCTGAGATGTGTGGCAGAGATGTTTATGCCGCGATGGAGCCAACAATTATAGCTTGCCAGCAGAAAAAGCTCTCTCTCTCTCTCTCGCTCTCTCTCTCCATCTCTCCGACTCTCCCTCTCACTGTTCCCTCTTGTCTCTTTCAGGAACCTCGACATAGCCCTACGATGAAGATGAAGAACAGAGGCATCCGTAGCTCGCAATCTAGCCCGATGCCCTCATCCCGAAGCCACTTCCCCTCTAAGTATTTTTTTTTAACCTAATTTAATTTTGGTTTATATTTCCAATTTTGTGCAAACCCAGCTCGAATGGTGTTTCAATTTGAAACGTTTTCTGCGACTCCTACTTCTGATTTCAAATTTGGTGTTAAATTTGTTGCAAATTTGAATGGGGTGTTTTTTCGAATTTTGTGCGATAGTTGCAACTTGCAACATCCAAGATTGAGCCAGAGTTCCTTTTACTCATGATTCTCATTTTTATGCTGAACTAGTGTTTTGTTTTAATTTTTTTTCATATTCTGTTAGGCACTTAGGCCAAAAGTGGTTCAATTTTGTGCACACTAAGGAGGGTGTATTCAACTCGGATTTTAAAAGATTTTGTTAGATTTTATATAATGTATAGATTGTGTAAAATCTATGAATTGTTTTAATTCTACGTGAACTTAAGTAAATTTTAGTGTATTTACTTGTGAGGATTTGCTTAGATTTTAACAAGTCTATAGATTGTTCAAATTCAATAATTAACTACAAAACCAACAAAAATAATTCAAATAAACTAATTACAAACAAATACGGAGTACACATTGGAATAAACAAACAATACATTTTTTCTTTTTAAGATTGAGATTTTCAAATAATACTGCGTAAATGCAATAAAAAATAAAAATAAAATGGCAAAGCATGAGTGCAAATGAAAAACTGAAATTCTTGGATGAACCCTAATTTTGTATGAACATTCCTTCGACAAGTCCATTAAAATTCTTCAACGGACATTCAAGCTTAACGGCAAAGCCATCCCAGCGAAGTAGACATGGACCGAGCCATCCTCCTGCGAAGCTTCAAACGCCAGGCTTCCAGTATTCAAGGCAGAGAGATTGATGGAGGACTATTTCACCTATCTCCGATCGTCTTCTGCGTATCAGACTGCTGAACGCTGCGGGGTGGAGCTTCTGGGCAGTGATCCAGTTGAAAATTGACCGGACACAGACGACGCAGAGAGAAGCACAAGAGAAATAAGGAACAAGCTTTACAATCCAGAGCCGACTTCAGAATCTTGAGGTTTCTGATAAGATTTGTAAATTGATTTTTATTTATGTAAAAGGCTTTAGAATCCTCCACAATCTATCATTTGCGAAAATCTTTGAAAGTTCAAACAATTTTCGATACCATTAGATTTAGATAATCTTTATTGAACATATCAAAATTTTAAATAATTTTTTAAAGTCCTAATTCAATACATCTAGATTTTAAATGATTTTTTAAAATCCAGATTGAATACCCATAGATTTTTCAAATACAAAAAAATCTTACAAACTCCATGTTGAATACACCCCCCTCAATTGATTTTAAAATGTATAATTGATTGTTTGTAGGTGGATTTTTGTGTGTGAAATGGAGCAAAATTCAAGTCTACAAGCTATACTTTATGGGACAAAGCTCTATAGCCAGGGTTATCGATGAGAGTGTAACATTGTCCACCCCCACGAAGGTAATGAATGAAATGTCAAAAGCAGTTGCACCTAAGGTTGGCATGCATTTTGATAGTGTTGAAGAGTTTGGGGAATTTGACTACACAAATAACATAGCAAACGGATTTCATACAAGAAAATGCACAAGTAGAGGGAACGACTACTTTTGGAGGGTGTTTCGTAAAGTGTGCTTCCACAAGGCAAACGCAACTAATGGAAACTCCTTTAATAAAAAAGAAAAACCATGATGGGTAGAGTTGGTTGCCAGGGTGCAATAAGTTTGAAGTTTGATAAACAGAGTGGGAAGTGGGTTGTCTAATCATTCACAACAGAGCACAACCATGGAATTGTGACACTATACAAGGCACACTATGTGGCCACTGGCGTTACCATAGAAGAAAGCAACGGTAAGGTGATTGAAATGTTTAAGGAATAAGGACCATGCGTCAAATTACATGCGTCAAAGTAAAAATGCCATAGATGAAACCCAAATTAAAATTTGATGAAAAAGAATATAGATGCATAATCCAATCAGAGTAAAAAAAGTAATCTGTAGAATCTTTCGTTTAATCAGATGTGTTCTTAATCACTGGAATATGAGGGGGAAAACCGTAAGTGAAGCCAAATCAGATGAGTAAGCAAAACAAAAATGCACTTATTATTAAAAGAATCTTAAAATCATTTGAGAAACTTTTTGAATCTGATAGAGGGGAGCATTTGATTTCTTCCAAAAACATGAAAGACACCTTAAAAAAGGGTAGAGCCTTGGGAGGGTGCGGCAGGAGTGATGAGAGAGCCTCTGGATGAGGGTAGCTTGAACTAGTTTTGGCCTATATTGGTACAAAGTAAGGCTCTCACAATGTAAAAAAAATCACTGGTGAAGCAAAAAAATTGAGAATCATGAATAAAAATAAATCGGCTCAATCATGGAGATGTCAACTATCTCACAAATTTATACACCCCATTCGAAATTCGCACAAAATTGAAAGAAAACACGCCAAACTTAGACTAGGGTTTATACCTGGAAGGAGGTAGCCTTGGGCTTGAGGGTGGCGACCTTGAGCTGGATGGGAGGTGGCGTCGGCTCTAAGGGCTAGGCGAGCGTAGCTCTTTCCAGAAATATGGAGGTATATGGTACATGCGGGTAATTAGTAATAACTAAGAAATATAAACATTCATTTCGAATAAGGTACTATTTATTTTAAAATAAAGAAGTACTCATTTTTACACATTTGTCTAATATAATTATAATAAATAGCGTAGTATTCATTCTTTAAACAATAATACTCATTCTCAAATAAGGAAATGCACATTCTGAAATAAAGTATTGTTCAATTCTTTCACAATTTAAAAGTTCATTACCATCAACTTCTGTAGTCCCACCTAAGATTTCCAGGCTCCGCCACCATCGCCATCCCTCGTCGCCATTCTCCATCGTTTTTGCATCCTCCCAATCTTCGCGCCTCCCTTTGTCGTTGCCTCTCCTTCGCCGGCCTTCTTCGATCGTCACCCTCCTCTCCTCCTTCGCGAACTTCTTTGATTCTTCGCTCCTGTCGCTTATTTCTGCCGGCTGTACGGTTCTTTCCGTACAGCCGGCTGTACGATATAATTTGCGGCGATGCGCAGAGACGGGAGACGAATGACAGAGTGGCTTGGGAAGATTTAATGACCTGTGGCTCTGTAACTTGTAAGAACTGTTCTTCAAATCAAAAAAAGAGGGAAAAAATGGAAAAAACTAAAAAAATTAGAAAAAACTAAAAAACTTCAAATAATTGGAAAATCTAAAAAAATCTTTAGTAAAGTTTATTTTAGTGTATTTTTATATCATTTTCATTGTAATTTATTTGTTATAAATTATTACTATTATTACTTCTATTATTATCATCATCACGTTATCTTAATAAATACTTTTAAGATAAAAAAATATTGTTATTTTTCATATGCAAAAAAATAATTTTTTCAAAAAAAATAATTATGATATAAAGTTAGCATAAATATCAAAATGTTAAATTTTAAAAAATTATTGTAATTACATTGCAACTCAATTTATTTATGTGGTATTTATTATAAATAATAAATTTGTAATTATACTTTATACTCCAAAATGTAAGATTTTGGAGTATATTACAAGATTTTGTTTTATGGAGTATATTACAAATTTTGTTTTAAATATCAGAAATATCACAAAATGTAATCGAACCTTTTTTTTTTCATGATTTATATTTTATTTTAATTGTAACTCCTATTTTTGGAATAAAGACATAGAACATTTTTTCACATTTGTATGTTTTACTCCTATTTTATTCTTTGTCTCTAAACTAGTTTGACTTTCAATTTCTTTTATTAAAATTAGAAAAATGGGAAAAATTTGATGTGGATATATTTTATCTTGTAATTTGTATATTAAAAATATACACACCGTCCCAGAGTATTTGTCCACTTTTATTTTTACACACCATCCAATGCACTTCTTTAATCTATTTTATCTTGTAATTTGTATATTAAAAAATTATAAAAATTATATATTAATAATCTATATGTTAAGGCAAATCAAACAAGATCACACATGACTATATTTAGGCTTACACATTGAGAGAATTTAATGAGTCAAAGTGCTTAGATGAACAGTTCCAAAAGTAAAAACTAGACGAATACTTCACGACGGAGGGAGTATATCATATATCATATATCCTATATCCTATATCATATCCAATATATATACTCCATCTGTCCCCAATTTGATTACAAATTGCGGGTTACGGAGTAAAATTTCCTACTTTTTGAATTCATTTTATTTACAAATTGGTATATCAATAAGGTATAAAAATTACATATTAAAAAATTAAGTCTAAAGTTCTACAAAACAAGAAGTGACAAGAATATTTTATTATATCAAATACTTAATGAAATCGCGTAAACAAACAAAAGTTATTGAGAGGAGAGAGAGAAAACAATTGTAATCTATTTAGAGATGGACGGAGTATATGTAAAGTTGGGTTAATTTCTTGGAGTGTTGACATGTGGCATGCCACATATACATCCACATGTGCATTCATTAATGACATGTGCATCCATAGTTTTAAAAATTGAACCAGACCAGTCGGTTCAGACCTCTTTCTCTTTCAACCTTTTGGTTACAGTTCTTGTTGTTGCAGCCCAAATAATACCAGTCTTTGTAGTTTTCAATGGACGCTATGTAAGCCATGACCTAGAAATAACCATCATGTAATATAAATTAGTCAACACACCATGTTACTTACATTAATTAAGAATAATTTTGAAAATTATTTAAAGATTAACCTCAGTTTCAGTAAGCAGATTCCTGATACTTGAAATTTTTAAATTTGTACTTGTATCTTCTATCACTTCACTACTCTGTGTGAGTCTGAAAGTACGTGACGATCTACTATCCTCATCCCCACTCTTAAAAGCCTTCAAAAATTATTTTGCCTCTTCATAGTCATTGTCTAAAGGCATGTTTGGGAATAGCGTTAGAGATTAGCTTTAGCGTTTTGGATTAGATTTTAACGGTGTAGATTAATTTGAAAACGCTGACGCTAAACGCTGACCGTAGATAGCCTTTTCAAAACGCTAACGCTAATCTCTAACGCTATTCCCAAACAAGCCCTAAGAGAAGTTTAGTAACATAGAATGACGTTGAGATAGACACTTCTTCTGCCAGTGAAAATTATTTTTAAAATATATAATCAAGGGAACACAGTCGGTTATATGAACATAATGCCAAGTCTATACTCATGAATTCCCTCGGACGAGCAAATTGCAATATGAGAATGAGATTTGTTATTCCTCCACCAACTGATTCATTAAACTTCTCAATGTAGTCTCCCCAGAGTTTGCAGCGTAGGTGCTGTCCTCTATGAAATCAAAAATGGGTGGCGTTATATTACAAGTAAAATTAAGAAAAATGTATATTTTATTAGGAAATAACATAACTTTTCATCTTCCAAAGTCAGCTCCATAAATTTTTGAGGACATCTTTGAACCATTTGACTTTGAATACCTGTTCTTTCAATTACTTTTCCTATGACATCTGTAAAATGATAATAACTTAGTCATGCATTATAAAATGAAATAACATAAACAAATTCTATTGTGCAATCTTACCAACAAGCATATTCTGGCTCATAGGTTCCAATAACTTTTCAAAATGACGGAAGTTATATATGAAAGTTGGAAATTGATATGAATTGATGTCTTTCCATAGTGTGTCTCCATAGAGAGTAAGAATATATGGGTGGTACGTTGTCTTAAAAGTGTGGTAGTTTTTTGAACTAAGAAATTGCGTAACGCACAAACCACCCCTTATTTGACTTTTGGTTTGAAGTACCTAATTTCAGGCCTCTTAATCTGGGCGTGAATACTTGTTCTCTTTGCAAAAAAAGACACAGATTAGCCAGAAATTACTGCAAATTTTACAGAATATATATTGTATGATGACCTAATTATTGTGGTTGAGTCATGAAAAATAATTTCCATTGTATTTTGTCTTCCATCACGGGAGGGCGAATCATAAACACGAACAGCTCGAACATGTATTGTCCACTCGTTTTTACGGTCGTCTAGATCTCTTAAATAAGACCACAGACCACCGCTTCCACTCGATGCATCCAACATCGTGCCTTAGATTTTGTAGGGCTATGAGAGGTTAGATTAATGAGAAGTGAAATTGTGAGGAAGAAGAGGATGGTGCTCATGCTTTTATATTGACGGACAAGTTGTGGGAAGTGGGGAAGCTCCACACCACAAAACATGGGCAATGTTATGCAAGGGGGATGATTTTTTTTAAATGCAAAATGGCAGCTACCCCTGAGTATAGGCTGAAGGCGTGGGCAGTGAGGGGTGATTTTTTTGAGTTTTCCTTTTTTTTGTATACAAACTGCTTTGTGATAATGATTTTAAAATATTTGTAGTAGTACGAAAAATAATATTAATAAAAAAAATAAACTGAAAATTAATAATTTTAAATAGGTTAAATCATGATTTTTTATATTGCCTAAAGCTACAATATTCGGCCTAGAAATTTAGCAAATTAAATAGGTATTACATTTTTTGTAATAATTTTAACTAATAAACTGGTTTAATAGGTATTACATTTTTTTAACTAATCAAATTAATTTTAACTAATAAACTGGTTTAATAGGTATTACATTTTTTGTACGAAATAATTAAATAGGCCTAGAAATTTAGCAAATTAAAAAAAATGGCCCAAAGCTACAATATTCGGCCCAAATTTTTGGGCGGAATATTTTTCTTGCTACTCTTGTAAATAGGAGGATGATTGATTATTGATTAATGATTGATGATTGATATGATTGATGATTGATTTAACGAATGATGGTTATCAATTCACAATAGTGTAAACAAATAAAATGCAAATTCTTTTATATGAAATATTTACAATAGAAGTTTTCAAATTATAAGTTCTATTTATTTAAAATATTTATTTGAAAAATATACTCCCTTCATTAAGAAAAAACCTTTATCTGACTTTTATGTACGTAGTTTAAGAAAAGTGTTAAAAAATAAAAATTTTAAACTCTGAATTTGTTTAGAAAAGAAAGAAGAGTTGCGAGTCACCCATTCCTTTCTTAAAAAATGAATTTTTTTGGGGCACCCGAAAATAAAAATAGTAAAGTCTTTTTAGAACTTGACAAAAAATATAAAGTTTTTTTGTAGATAGTACAGTGTATATATATTTTTTAAATTAATTAATTTAGTAGTTATTATTTAATATTAATTCAAAAAAGCAACTTTATGAGTCTAATGGTAGATATAATACTTCATATTAATATTATGACAATAATTACGTATCCTGGAGAATTGTGTTAGAGAAGGACAACGAATATTAGTCTTTGATTTCTATTAGACTTGTATATGGTAGCTTCCTTTTATTTAGCTTTCCTAATCCTATTAGGAATATCTTGATAGCTATATATACTCCACATTGTATTGTACATAATCAAGAGAGAATACAACAAATTTTTAGCCCAAAGGCACTTTTGCGTAACATGGTATCAGAGCAAACCTAAAATACCTATTCCTTCGTGTGCTACAGCCGC